TCTTGCAGGTTATCCTGTAGGGGAGAGTTGGCGAAATTGTCTTTTTTAAATCGTAGTTGATTTTTTAGATGTAGCATACATATAAAATAAGATTTAATTTGAAAATTTTGTTTATATTTCACATTGCTCATTTATTTCTTATTTTTTACCGTTAGATGTTGTCTATAATATATTCAATGATAACGAAGAAACTTATGGCGTCTGATGAGTTAGTATGGTTAGACCCATAAGTCTCCGTACTTTCTTCTTTAATAAATAAAAAAAGAAAATTGTTAGGATACGGCAACTCTCTTCTATGTCGTAAAAGATGTCATTGCACTCTCTGAATTTCTCTCACTCGAAGTGCGATGGAGCTTCAAAAAAACTTGCACATTTTTATATGAGGGCCTCATGAAAATAAGTGGTAATAAAGAAACTATTGTTAGGAACGTGCGTTGTAAAGACTCGTGCGGAAGGAAGAAGCCGCATTCTCATCTCGGCGCATGCGAAGCGAATAAAGCAAAATGCGGCTGAAGGTACGAATATAATAGGCCACCGCAAATACGCGCGCGAGCGAATAGAGCGCGAATAACGTCAAAGCGGCGCCTGTCGAATCGTCATTTGAAAAGAACGGGAGGAATCTCGCGAAGGGGCGCGGATAAAAGAGAGGAATTTCCAACGCTGACGGCCCGAGGACAGCCGGCCGGCCAGCTCGCTTTTTAATTATACCAAAATCTAATACCGCCGAAGGTGATTCGCGCGCGCTCATTAACTGCCTCGCTCGTACGCATCACCCGGGAGCCTTCGCCATCGGCAACGGCCGTTATTCACGGCATTAATCGGGGCAGAGGGATTTGAGCGCCACGGCCGTGCGGCTCGCCCGATTCTTCGATAACACAGTACGTCGTTAGCCCTCGCCCCGCGATTCATAATAAAATATACTCGTAATAGATAATGCGAGCACACCGCGGGGGTGAATGGGTGTCACGCGGCCGGCATAGAACGCGGGGAACAATGGCGCGGCGGGGCCGCGTGGGCGAAATCGCGAATGCACTTTTCGGACTTTACCGTTTTCAAAGGTGTCTCTGCCAGCAGAACGCCGGCGCGAGCGTATATATGCGTCCGCCGTTGTCGCAGAATAAACGTATCACGCAAACATGTTGCTGCAAACACACCGTCGCGGTACATACATGTACTGTAATACCGAGATTGCGTGTACTCCGACGTGTCCTTGGCTGACTGCGATACGCACATCGCGACGTACCGGAAAAAATTACTATTGACAAACAGTGAGTGTGACATCGCGCGCGCGCGCACGCGTGTCTATGTGTGCAAATTAAAAGATGGTTACGTATGCGAGTTGACTTAGGAACGGCAATATTTGCGGAGGGCATGGAAATTGCAGCAGCTTCGCCGCTGTTTACCTCTGCCGGTTGGGATTATTTTACGAAGTTATTTTTCCGAGTAACATCATTACATATTCATAGTTTTCTATTCCTCTAAAATTTCTATACTCTCCTGCTCTCTCTTTCTTTCTCTCTCTTTCTTCTCTCTTTCTCTCTCTTTCTCTCTCCCACCCTCTCTTTCCCTCTACCATCCTAGGTGCCTGCTATAAAGCGCATAAGCACATTTAATTGAAATTACGGCGGCACAAGCAGGAAGCATCCCTGCGTAACTGTACGGCTTTGTCCCGATGTAGGAACGAGCGACCGCGTCTCGCGAATAAGTCATGTGGCTGTAATCAGAGAATGAGAAAACGTATGCGCTTAGCGAATGTAATTACGCGCAACAGGAATGCGATTAAGACCGGGGAATCTCGTATTCTCGGACACTGAAATCCCTCCGCCGTTGCCACCACTTTAATGAAGTCTAACGTCTGATTCGCGCTTCCGCGTACTTCCGCGGATCCTCATCGCCGACGGGATAAAGCTGGAATTGCACGATGCACGATTTCATGCCTTCTTACACGTACGTCGAGTGGCGGTTCTGTTCACTGCGTGAGTCACTATCGCGCGTTGGAAGGTGTACGTAGTAGACTGAAGAGTTACCGCCCGAGTTTTGATCCTACTTTCAAACTCAATGTTCCAATCTCCATATTCCATTTCAACGCCTATTTTGATACCATGAAGTCTACATTAACCTCTTTCAATTCTGTTTGACCTACTAGCTTCGCCGAGAAATCTTCTTCAGAATCTACGAGTGGCATTTTGTGTGTGTTTCTGCCATTTAAAAGCGTTAAGTATTATTTCAGATTTCATGTGTATTACACACGCACTGATCCTTCAGAATATTCAGATGTTAAGCGTCTTATAAGTTAGCGAGACAAAATCAGCAGAACCAGTTCTAAATAATATTTTTACACGTTGCTCAAAAGTTGCCAAAGAAAAACAATTTGTTGCTCTCGAAATATCCAAGTCCCCAATTTGTTGCTCGCTGAATGTGTTTAAACAATAGTTGGAAATCTATCGATTTGTGCGAGGTCCAAGAGCAAACTAAACCTAACCTTTGGGTAGAAAGCAACTAAGCAGGAAATGAGCAACATATAAAAATACTAGTTAGAATTGGTTCTCTTGATATATTTTGTTCTGCTAATTTATAAGACATAGATGTTAGAAAGTTCAGAATAGGACTAAAATGTCGACTCGGGCGGTTAGCGAACAAATGTCAGAGAGCATAAAATCGTGCATCGTGTGATTCTAGCTTTAACGCACTTTGTATGTTGTCACGTGACCGATCAAATATGCGCGCATTTACTGATGCCATCCATATTCTTTGACACGAAATGTTACAGTCGAACTTGGAGGGACAATTTGCGCGATGCTCGCATGCATCGTCAGCTCGCTTGATGAGGACTGTCGGAATAAATGAGCGTGCAAAGCCCGTTCGGTTACTTTAAATAGCCTAATGACGTTAAGCCGCTTAACGACGCGAAAATACTCACATATTTCCTCGCGCTTTCGCGGCATTCTGTAGAATTATTAGGACCTTAACTTAGTTTCCGCCCAAAAAATACTGAGAAAAAGCATTTATTGTAAAAAATTTATTTAAATTATTTCAATGAAAGTATTTTCCATCACTTTCTACAACTTTTTGCCATCTTTCTGGCAACTGGGCGATACCATCTCGATAAAACGATGTTTGTTTCGAAGCAATCCATTCGTCCACCCATTCTCGCACTTCTTCAACATTTCGGAAGCGTG